CTTTTACCAAAAATTAGGTTGTAACTCGTTTTTCGATAAGAATAATATTTTCCAAAACACCTTCGGCTTAAAAATAGTTTAAGCACTCGTACGTCTGCCTACATGCAAAAATACCTTACCACTTTAGAAATTGCATATTTAAAAAATGTTCACTCTTCCTACCGCGCTCAGCTTTTTGAAGTTTAGCACGCATATTTAATAGATATTAGGGTAGAGAAAATTAGTATAAATTTAATACCGTTTTCCGTGGTTTTTTTCAAAACAAAATTTGCGTTTAAATGGCATATTAATTTTATAAACTCTTTCAGAAAACGGTGCTAAGATTATAAGTAAGTTTGTTTTTATTTAAAATGAAGAAAACAAATTTAATTTCTGCATTTTAATTAGATTTCTTAGAAACATTTTGAGTACGTATCTTTGTAGCCTATTCAATTTTATTTTAGCAAAGTAAAAATTTTAGGTACCTAGGACCTGCCGTCGATTTTTTGCAATTTTTTTTGTGGAAGCCATTGCTCATTTTCTCCATACAAAAAAAAAAAAATAATTCGATGATGTGCGAGTAAAAATTGCCAAAAATCAACGGTAAGTCCTAGCTACTTTAAACTTAGGGCTTATTTTAAAAGGGGCAGATAACTCCGTTGTTTTTGGTACACTTTTAGTGTTCGTTGGGGCTTTTGTGAATTAAAAGTAAATGTTTGATAGGCTTCTAAGATATAATTTCACGCGCCTACTGTACCTGATTCGTAGACATATTAGTGCTGCTGCAGGCGAACTTAGTTGTGTGTAAATACACAGATACATATATATACATTTACACTATATGTATGTGCCACCGTATCAATTAAAAGGTACCCATTCATTCTTACAATTTTGGCAATTGTTCAACTGCTTTTTTCTTTTGCTTTAGTTGCCAAAAATTCAGTTTCCACTTTCTCTACTTTTTGCTTCCTATACCTTTCCTAATGCTTTTTTTTTTGGCAGCATCGTTCGCTGGCAATTAATTTACATGACTGTCGAGTTCAATTGAGTTCAATTTAGTGAGGGCCAATGTGTTTGCCTTTTATGACTGCACAAGTGATTCTCAGTGCCAGTTTAAACTGACTGAGTGACTGAATGTCTAACCGAATGCGGCAAGTGAATAGCATTTAATGCCTCACTTGTTGCCAGACATTAAATTTGTTTTTTAGTTTTCTTTTACAAAACACAATTTGGGTCTTTGTTGCATATTTTATGGTGGGCTAATAAGCAATCGGCTGAAGGAGAGCAACAGTCGGGACTTTGCGAATTGCAGAAGAAGTTCGCTCCCGCCGCCCATGTTTTCACTCGCTTGCTTACTCAGCTGCATCTTATTTCGCTTTGATATTCATAAGTCAGACAGATGCCAGTTGCCAGCGGGCTTTTATTAAATATTTTATTTAATTAAGTTGGTGGCGTAAGCCTTTTGTCAGCAACGGATTGCGCTGGTTCTTCGCATAGCTTCCACGCCTTTATACTGCTGCCTCTTTTATTTTCATTTATTACTTGTGCAGTCAAGTAAATTTAATTTAACCGCCCAGAGGCTAACCAGCTAAAAAAAAATTACCAAGCTGTCAGCGCCTAATTATATACTAGACGAAAATTATATTTTATATCAGCTTTTCATGCAACACAAAGCAATTAAAACGCTGAGGAACGCTTGAAAGGCAATTTTATGCATTCGACCCTTTTATGCATTGGACCCTTTTATGACATCGTCTCGTCGCGGCCTGCGTGTTTGTCAGCTAGTTTTGGGGTCAGCAATTATTAAGGGGGTTAATAATTGTATGTTGCGCATTTGTCCTCGAAACACTATTGCATTGACGTTCATTAAGTGTTCATCGAGTCGGTGTGGAATAAGAAGCGATGTTAAACTCTTTTCAATATATCATTAGGTGTTTACAGCTGCAGCAATTTATCAATTTATAAATAGGATTGGCACTAAGCGCTCGAGTTTATTGCGCCCTTTTAGTGTATTTTAGTTATAGTCGAGCATATAAAATATCAGAGGGTATGATTAAAAGCTATTGCGCTTTGGTGCATATTGCACACGATCTTCAAAAGTGACACAACTCAAAATTTGGCATTTTTGAAATTATGCACTAAAAATGTGCACAGAGCTTTTATTTACCTTTCAGCAAAATATGGAGCAAATTTTTGTTATAATTTATTGAAAAAAACCTAAAGTAAAGTCTCCCTAGCTCATATGATTACCATGTGCTACGAAATAGTTTTTCGCATTTTCGGACGAACTTATAATTTTGAGTTGTGTCACTTTTGAATATCGAGTGCGATATGTAGAGAAATGAGGGAGTGTCAATTGCATGCAATAACAGCAAAGTATGACAGGGAGGATAGCTTGGAGGAATATTTATCGTAAATAAATGGAACTATGTTTTTTTTTATGCTTGAATGTGGTGACATTCAATATTATCAGGAGGTTTGAATATAATAAACGCCTAGGCTACATTTTTTAATAGGGTTTTTGAGCTTTGTACCACAAAGCAACAAAGTCTAAGCAGTAGAAGCAGTAATAAAATTTTAACAGGGCGATGCACATTGTAGATGTTAAAGAAAAATTAAAATGGGGGGTCTTTAATAGAGCAAAAGCCTAATCGAATGCAGTTTTCACCCATGTATAGATTGAGGCCTAACATAAAAAAAAAAAATATTAGAGAGTTGCCACCTGTTGGAAAATTGAAGTTTAGGTAAATTAATAAAATAAATTAAATATTGCAATATGGATGCAAAAATAAATAGGTTTAAGTAGGCTTACATTCGAACAAATTTTTGTTAAATGATGCCACCTGTTTGAAAATTTTAATTTAAAGCTCAATTAAATATTGCATTATGGGCATCAACCTACATAGGTTTAAGAAAGTTTACTGCCGAAAACATTTTTGAAGGGAGCTGCCACCTGTTTGGAAAAGTTTATTAATTTAAATTGATAAAATAAGTGAAATAGTACAATACTGATGTTAAACTAAAGAGGTTTAAGAAATTTTACTGTCGAACATATTTTCGAAGCGGGTTGCCACATATTTTGAAAAATTTAATTCGGTTAAATTGATAAGATAATGTAAATATTGTATTAGTACACCTTTGAAGAAAGTGTGCGCTATATAAATTCAAGTTATAAGATTATAAATTAATTTTCCAGAAGGCCGGTGCTCTACCTAATTTCCAAATACGTAAATATATTAACTAACACCCATAATTATAAAAAATAAAGAATGCTTAATAAATCGAAAATTTCTTTGAAAATTCCCGTTAATTAGGCTCTTAAAATATGTATGTTTTAGTTTTTATGAATGAGGCCATACGAGTTTTGGGAAGGGCAAACAATACAAAAATTCTTTTACAGATAGGATTCACTAAACTAGCAGGACTAAAAGGAAAAATCAAAGGCATGCGAATTGCGTCAAAATGGCATGACTTACTTCTCAATACAAAAGATAACTGTAACTAATAAACCCCCCCCCCCCCCCAGTAGTAATTTCGAGCGAATTCAATCAATTTTGAAAAAATTTTCCGCCATATTGAATTTTTCAAACCTGACTGCAGATTTGTAATTAGTCGTCCAACCAACGCGAACCTGTTAAAACAGTTGTGTCCCTGTAGATTCTCTATTCCGACCACTGTGCGCAGTGAAGAACGCCCCACAGTGCGTAATTTCGGCAATTTAGGGGAAGGAAAATCATAACGCCCACAATTTTGATTCTAGAGACAATTTTTTTTTAGTTATGTACTTCTAATAGATTGTATAATTACGGTTTCAAGGGATGTACGTGATTCCATTAGTACGATATTTTATATGGGCATTTCCAGGGGACGGTCTTTTAAGTCAAAAATTAAGAGTGATATATCTATGTTAGTTATGGTCAAACACGAAATTGGTGTAACACTAAAATAACAGTTTCGCTGTTTTCTGCAGCCAACTTCAATACTTAACGCCCGGTCAAAATCGGACTTTCCAACCGCTGAACGTTGACGCCGCGTTGTTGAGCCAGACAACGCTGACGCTTTTGTTGTGGTATGGCAGTAAGTGTTGACCAAAAATTGTCATCATTCACACGGATTGAAATTACAGTATGATATATTTGCTTCTGTCAGTAAACTACATAATTCTTTAATTTTCTTGACTGCTACTTTTAACATGCCACTCGGTAATATGTTTTTAAAATAATAAGTAACTACAGTGTGATAACTTGACACCACATTCTTTGGTAAAAAATATTTTCACAAGCGTATACGTTTAAATAAATGCCTTAAAAGATGAAGGATTTAATTCGCGCACAGATACATGTATGAAGTAAACATGAAATAACGAAAGAGTTGTTTTTCAGTTCAGCCAATTCTACGAAATCCTTGCTTGTTGTAATAATAAACTTGGGCTCTCGCTTTGTATACTCGTATGAACGCATTTTGCCTTACACTTTTAACATTAACGTTTTTCCTTTCGCCATACTGCAACTTGAGAAACTTTCACGATACAATTACTATCCTTTCGTTTTAAGCTAGCGCCGCGAAGAACTAGCTGCTACTTCCTGCGGCACCTTAATTACTCGCAGCATAGCCAACTTTGTTGGCGTGCTTTTGTTGCTGTTCACATTGCGCGCGCAACTTACGCCTGCATTCATCTTATTAAGTTAATTAGCTGTATTCTCTATCTCACACATGTTTACTTGTATGTATGTGCATAGCAGGTATATATGTATATATTTTGGTCGCAGACAAAAATCGAACATGCAACTGGACATCATTCAATTGAAAGTGATTCACAAAAAGAGACATTAAATTAATTTGGCAGCAGCTGCCGTCAAAGGAAATCGTAAAAATTTGGAAAAACTCAATAAAGAAAGTATAGAAGAAGTACGCCAGCACGCCGTATTACCTACCTTTCCATACACATTTAAAATTCTTTCCGATTCTAATTTATATTCTCTTTTTTTCATGAAACTTTTTCGTCCGTTGTCTACTTTTAGGTGCCGGAACGTGTACGCGCCATGAATGCCAGCATAAAACTTTTGCTCATTGTACGTGAACCGGTGACGAGGGCCATTTCTGATTATACACAATTACGAAGTCACGCGGCAACGGCCACGCTGCCGCTAGCAGATGGTCCTCCGCCACCTTCGCCCGCGCCCGCTAAGCGTATCGCCAGCACTTATCAACAACGGCGTCAAGGGCGGTCTATTGAAACAGCCGGCTCTGGCTATGGACCTGGGTCGAGCTATGCGGCGGCAGCAACGAATCAGCATCTCAGAGCGACACAGCATGTAGCGCTTTATGGTAAATCTAGCAATTCCTATGTTCCAGCGCAAGTGTATGATAATGCAATCGGCGGAGGCGGAGGTGGAGGTGGAGGCGGTGGAAGTGGAAGTGATTCTTATACAACAGCGCCATCGCCCGGTTCGGCGGCCGCGGCAGCTCAAATTGCAAGCAAGTAAGTGGTCATACATAGCTTAGTGTGTGCTTATGCATGAAAGTATATGTACGTGTGTGTGTGTGTTTTTTTTGCTGCCATGGCGCCCGTGTATATGCAATGAAAGCAGTAATAAAACGCTGTACAGGAAGGAAGTAGGTATGCTCATACAGACTATTTTGCATACAAATGAAATGTAAAATAGGAGAAAATTTTTTTCAAATTTTATCAGCGCAAACTTGGCAAGCGTTGGTTAGTGAGAGTTTGCGCGGCCAGTTCACCTTCAATGGAGATTGGGTAGACGACGCGACATTCATTTCAATTTGTTAATTCAATAAAATAAACGCGTGTTGTCGTTCAATTTAAATTGAGCGAAAATAAAAAATCCAATGGCAATGGAATATAGAATTGGTATGTACGCGAGCTGAAGTGGCTTTTTGGTCAAGGCGTCGTTATGGCGTATACGTAACCAAATGCAGCATGGGGTAGTTATAGTATGTACCTACCACATGGGTCAATTCACGACAAGTGCGCCAAGCACGCTGAGCGGTGCAAAACAAGCTACTTTTCGACTAGCTGGGAAGCAGACAGAAAATGGTGGGGGAAAATCGAAAACTATGATTACTATAGATTTTTGTACGGGCTATTCGATGGTGCTATGCGTTTTCTAAAATTTTGCCATGTTCATGGTGAAAATTCCAAACAAAAGGTTATTTGTAATTTTTCTCAATTATGGCCTTTAGTTATCTCAATCGAAAGATCAGGTCCTTTTTGCATAGACGTCATCTATATATTAATATTTATGCTAACAAAATCCCATACAAATCTATTCCTCCATACTGCTCCTATGTTTCTCCACCGATTTGAATGATTCTTCTTTTGTTCGAAAGGTATTTCAAAGGGGAGGTGCGCATTTTGTTTGATTTTCCGGTAGGTGGAGCAAGAGTGGAGTTATTCCGAATAACTTCATTTATGATCCGATTTGCTTCAAATTCAAAATTCATATTACTAACATCAAAAGAAATGTACCTGCCAATTGACGCGATAAAACGCTCTATATCAGAAAACTTTTAAAGAACACCCTATCTCAGAGTTTGCTTTGGCGCTATCTCAGCTGCCGATTCAAAAACGCCCTATCTGAGCACATTTTCAATGTATTTTCAACTGAGATATCACGTTTTTGAACCGAATTTTGAAAAAAGGGCGTTCTTCAAACAACTACTGAAGTAGGGAGTTCTTGAAAAGTTTTCTGAGGGCGTTTTCGAACTTGCTGCCGAGACAGGTGGATCTTCCACTAAAGTGAAGAAATGTGCCAGTATTTTTTATTTTTTTTTGTATGAAATATGTTCACGTCGTATGAATAGCATTATTACAAAAAATCATTGCTTATTTTCATTTGACTACTCATTCCCTTTTCATTTATCCATCGATTTTCTTACTTAGTAGCTTGATTTTTTCGTTGTAGGAGATAATACTGGTTAAATATGTAAATATGTACAAATATTTTGAGTACGACGTTTTGTAGTCCATTAAATTTGAGTTGAAATATCGCGTTGAATTTTGGCAATTTTTTGCCGACCGTGGTCACATAGTTTTTCCATACAAAATATGCCCGACAAATTTTCTTTGTATGAAAGATACTATCAGTAAAATAAATTGCCAAAACTTAACACGATTTTTCAGCAACTTAAATCTTACACTTTCTCACACTAAAATTGAATGGGCTACAAAACTGCGTACTGCAAATTTATAGAATTTTCCTTAGGTTTACACAAAGTTTATAAATAAACGACGGATGTTTGATTGTTATTCTTTTAAGATCAGATATAGATTAAAAATATTTTTGTCCGCCTAAGTCGCCTAATTCTACCTGTGTGCGGTGTTGAGCAATTTCTTCAATATAACGAATTTTTTTTTGTTTGGAAGACCGGCACTAAAAAACTAACAAAAGCCCGCGAAATTTATGAGCAACTTCGAATTTCAACTAAAAAAACGAATTCAAATGCCCCGTAAAACTGCAAACTCGAACTTGTTGTTAAATTTTGACCACCAAGTTGAAATTTTGATGGAAATTTGTTGAATTTTCTCATGGTTGGAAATTTTTATTAGCATAGAATTTCAATGCCATGTGAAATTTCTTTAAGATTAAAAAAAATTTAAATTTTTTGGAATCACAGGGACGAGTAGGTAAGTTTTTAAGCTGATAAATTTAGAAGGACGAAATTCGAGGATGTTATCGAGTTTATATAAGTCCTTAACATATAATTTTTTCAAAAATAAATATTGCGAAATTTCAAGGATAACATTTTAAAATGACATTTTCATTACTTACCAGTACTTCTGCACCAAAAACTTGAATCTGCTTAAATTCTACTGGATTTCCTCTTTATGTTGATACCGACACTTCTTCTCTAAGCACATTTCACTGAATTTTTTAAATCATTTTTGAATTACTGGCGTCAGAGTGAAAAACTAAAAACGCAATTTTAGTATATTTGGCCCATGGTTTCCCGAATGTATTAATATTTGTGTGTAAAATTTACTAACGCGCGGTGTTGTGTGTATAATGAGCTAGACTTTTATAAAAAAAAAAAATAATTATTAAATAAAAAAAAATAAAAATAACCCATACTGGTCGAGAAAGGGAATTTCTATTCTATTCTTGCCATCAGCGCAAATTACAAATCCCGAAAATCCCTGTACTATTTGCCAATAGTCACGGGATTTTCGAGATCTAAAAAAGGCCGTGTTCCCGGGATTAATATTCCTAACCTACATACATACATACATGCTTAGTTATACGCTTACAAGCTTTTCTA